AATATCGGGTATAAAATGAAGCTCCAACAGGCAGGCCCAGGCCAGCGGGCCAAAAATGGGCCAGGCCATCATGCGATCGCCCGATCGCCCTACGGACCAGTCCGGCCCTGAATGTAAATGATTATATTCATATTTATATGAGATGCAATGTGATGTTTACAGCGAAGAATGAAATAAATAAAGGAAATTACAAATTCACGATATTTCATAACATGAAAAACGCGGGAAAAATAAGAAATTAATTCTTTAAACTGATCATACTTACTGCAGATAACAGAGACAACACATAACTGAAGAATCAGATAATCTGAGGATTATCTTTGAATACTCGCAAACAAGGATTTGAAGATGAAGGTAACAGACGATATTGACGGTAGGAAGTTAGGTTGACAATGTAGTTCTTCTTCTCTTCTTGTATTTCTGGGGTCTAGGCATTACGCTGTTGCCAGGGTCACACAAAATGATTTGGTCTCTGGTAGAAGTCCATGTTTGCTCAAAGTGGAGTGGAATTTTTAAAGGACGAAGGAAAGCTCAAAGTCATCTCCACAACTTTAATATGAAGTTTATTCAACGGGACATGTTTCGAACTTATAAAAGTCCATCTTCAGCCGTATTTAAGAAATTACTAAAAGTAAAGACATTTGAAAATATACAAAATGTTATAAAAATTGTTTTTTGACTTACATGGAGGTGAAACATTGTTTGTTTCAACAATGATGTCGATGTCTCTCATCATAATGTCATTGATGAAGAATAAATAAATTGAGGAATAAACGGGTTTTCATTAAAAATGAAGGGCCCCGTGCCCTGAGAACGCGCACTTATGAATCAATCAAAAGTCAAGTCCCAGAAGGGAAACTTGACGAACACACAAGGTGCTCAAAGTAACCATATTGGTGTATTACAGGAAAGGGTCCCGTACCCTTGAAAGAGCGCACTTAAAAAGCAAAAATCAATTTAGAATTGATGGGGCCAAAGCCAAAAACGTGTTACATCCAACCTAAGGTTAGAAACACAGAATTAATTAATTGCAAGAACTTGACATAAGTCAAAGTCTTAATAACATGACATTATGACCAGTGACATAGGACACAGAATTAAAGCAAACAATGGGATGAATGTGAATTCCACTAGAGATAGTACAGTTAACAATACTCAATCAGAAATGACAATGAGAAGATTTGAAAGGGAGAGGGAGGAGGAACATTCCAACAAGATGGTTAGTCGCAAATCTGAAATTAAATGAATGATGATAATTGAAAGAGACCAAAGCAGGTGCCAAACAACATAAAACTAAATTTGGTTATTGGTAAAATCTAAGGAATTGAAAAATTTCACACAGTCATAGTTGACCTGTTCATTAAGGGATGTGACCAAATTATTGTTCAAAGCCGAGTTTATTTCAAAAATTTCCAGCAAATTCAATAAAGTACCTTTCTGACAAACATGTAATATTTTTAAATCTTGATTCATGTCAAAATTGTGTTCAGAATTTAGTATGTGGTTAGCAAAAGAACTCTTAGTGTTATACTCATCTAAAATCGGAGGGGAGGTTTTGGATTTTTCTATGGTTTTTACATGTTCCAAGACTCTAGTTGAAATCCTTCTACCGCTTTGGCCAACATACTGTGCGTTGCAATCAGAACAAGAAATGCTATAGACACCAGATTTGTGATTCAAAGGAACTTTGTCTTTTGTATTAACTAAGATTTTTGAAATATTGTCAATAGTGTAAAAAGAAATATTTATATTATCCATAAAACGATGAAAAATATTTTTAATATCAATGGAGACTTTACCCAAGAATAATATTTTTCATCGTTTTATGGATAATATAAATATTTCTTTTTACACTATTGACAATATTTCAAAAATCTTAGTTAATACAAAAGACAAAGTTCCTTTGAATCACAAATCTGGTGTCTATAGCATTTCTTGTTCTGATTGCAACGCACAGTATGTTGGCCAAAGCGGTAGAAGGATTTCAACTAGAGTCTTGGAACATGTAAAAACCATAGAAAAATCCAAAACCTCCCCTCCGATTTTAGATGAGTATAACACTAAGAGTTCTTTTGCTAACCACATACTAAATTCTGAACACAATTTTGACATGAATCAAGATTTAAAAATATTACATGTTTGTCAGAAAGGTACTTTATTGAATTTGCTGGAAATTTTTGAAATAAACTCGGCTTTGAACAATAATTTGGTCACATCCCTTAATGAACAGGTCAACTATGACTGTGTGAAATTTTTCAATTCCTTAGATTTTACCAATAACCAAATTTAGTTTTATGTTGTTTGGCACCTGCTTTGGTCTCTTTCAATTATCATCATTCATTTAATTTCAGATTTGCGACTAACCATCTTGTTGGAATGTTCCTCCTCCCTCTCCCTTTCAAATCTTCTCATTGTCATTTCTGATTGAGTATTGTTAACTGTACTATCTCTAGTGGAATTCACATTCATCCCATTGTTTGCTTTAATTCTGTGTCCTATGTCACTGGTCATAATGTCATGTTATTAAGACTTTGACTTATGTCAAGTTCTTGCAATTAATTAATTCTGTGTTTCTAACCTTAGGTTGGATGTAACACGTTTTTGGCTTTGGCCCCATCAATTCTAAATTGATTTTTGCTTTTTAAGTGCGCTCTTTCAAGGGTACGGGACCCTTTCCTGTAATACACCAATATGGTTACTTTGAGCACCTTGTGTGTTCGTCAAGTTTCCCTTCTGGGACTTGACTTTTGATTGATTCATAAGTGCGCGTTCTCAGGGCACGGGGCCCTTCATTTTTAATGAAAACCCGTTTATTCCTCAATTTATTTATTCTTCATCAATGACATTATGATGAGAGACATCGACATCATTGTTGAAACAAACAATGTTTCACCTCCATGTAAGTCAAAAAACAATTTTTATAACATTTTGTATATTTTCAAATGTCTTTACTTTTAGTAATTTCTTAAATACGGCTGAAGATGGACTTTTATAAGTTCGAAACATGTCCCGTTGAATAAACTTCATATTAAAGTTGTGGAGATGACTTTGAGCTTTCCTTCGTCCTTTAAAAATGATTTGGGTTCAAATAAAATCTCGATTATTAGAAATACCAGGATATTTGTATTAGTACTGAAGCATCTCGCACGTATGTAAGTATTCAATATGAGTGATTGTTAGGGACCAGGTCGAACTATTGCCTTCTGTGAATGTGAATACTTTTGTCCATTGGTCATATTGAATCTTATAAGATACTCAATTACTAGTTACACATCTAGCAGCGTCGAAGTATGGGGTCCTACTTTATTATCGGAAAGCCGGAACTCAGATAATGATGACTTTCGGTTCGGCTCATGAAGCGTCATCGAAGCTGTTTGTCATCAACTTCCTCATACCAGAATTTTATTTCTGAATGGAAGCCATTTTTTTAATCAACAATAAACAATAAAATAAAAAGAGTATTGTCACGTATGGGGATGAACCGTAAAATATGAATTTCTCTGCGTAGAGCAACGATCAGTACACCAGGCGCAGGATTGTTCACAATATGGTCAGGTTCAGGGATATTTATTCATCATAATACACAGTACTTACTTATATTAAAACACATGTTTTGTCATTGTCTACATTCAATTTAGAAAGTTATTATCAATTCAGTTCCAAAATATACTAAACATAATGAACTACACAGACAGATATGGTAAAAAATCTAACTTTACAAGATATAAATAAATTCTAACTCAGTCTAGGATGCCACCTATCTCAACTATAAGTATATTAGGAATATTCACATTATAAATAGTGTGTGATATGGATACAATTCACACACATAGAGCATAGGATCATGACAATTTGCTGTTATTGCAGTGGAGCACCATAATATATGGGGTATGGTAGTTGCAGGTTCGCAATATACCTGTGGTGACTGGTGCTGTACACAATCCTCAAAGCCTGGAAGTAATATTGCTGAAGATAGGCCATTGATAGTTGTATCTACTATATAATCCACAGTAACGTCAGGGTGCCTTTGGTGTTGAATTATTCCTTGAATTAGAGCTGGTTGCTGATGCTGGTTTCGATTTTATGGATCAAATGTACATGATTCTGATGGCTTTGATATTTAGCACAAAGGAATCGAATAGGTCAACACATTGCTTAGGGACGGTATTAGCATTTGTGGACTGTTGGATCCTTTTGCTTGAAGAGTGGGGTCATCGAGTATATAGTTATGATGCTACTGCGCATATGGTAGTGAGGACATTACTAGCCTACAAAACACAGTCGAAAATCTCTGAAAGAGAGCTGAGGGGCGGTGCCTGAAAAGAATGTTAGCCAGCTCTCTTGGGCGAACCACATCAGCCATTGAAAACACTTGGGGTTTGCAAAAAGGTCCCATTAGGGACTAGTTTCTGACGTGCATACGTCCCCCACCAGTACCAGTAGGTATGATTGTGAATATATCAGCTTCTGAGGATAGTGGATATCCCATAACACCGTCCCATAGAAATTGACTGGTTTGAAGAAAGCTCGCACTAATGTTTTGGTCCACGATTCAGTCAATAACAGTTATCTTCCTCACATCACGATGATATGGTATGATCCAAATATAATTATGATTTCACTGAAAATGTATACAAATCTCATGAAATTATGTGAACAAACAACACACTCTTTACCTCCATCTTGTTTTGAAGCAGCGCCCCCAACGGTCGATCACCTTGCCAATACCACATGGTTAGGTCTTGCCTTCATTAGGTAGGTACTCGTAAAATGCAATGATACATTGTCATGCCATTCTTCCATGGGATGACTAAGAATATTTGGAATATTTGATAATACTCGCGTACGACAATTTCCAAACAACTCAACACTCAACTATAATGCAAATTATATCAATTTTCACATGGTGATTTTTTTTTTCATAGCATGAAAAATTATTGACTTACCGGAGTGAACTCGTTGTAGAGTTAACGATGAAACTGACAATTTTTTTGTTCCAGGAAGTATGGTGAACGGATCTACAAAATGCTGAATAAAGACAGAACATTCGAGTTATACCTGAATCGATATCTTGAACGAGATGTTGTTAACAAACTGAGGCATACGTTCAGGACATGAGAGAGAGAGAGAGGTGCATAGTGTTGAGTTAAGATTAGTGTACATTATTTAGATGTTGTGATCATTAGGAAAAACTCATATACAATATCATATAAAAACATTTATTGATTCACAACTAATTCTTCGACATTCAACAACAAGATATAGATACACTGTCCATTGATAAAGTGTGCTATTATATAACAATTGCAAACATAAATGTAAAATCTGATTTAGGAGTTCATAAAAGACATTGTATAAAAATAAAACAGATACCTATAAAAATATTCAACTAGGTATTCACAGTTTCACAATAGGTATAGGTACTTTGGTACTTACTTAACGATAGGTAGGTAACAAGAATAGGTATAAACATTCAAGGCAAAACACCTACGATCACATTAAATATGAAGATACAAACAGAGTTTTAAGTTCAATGCAATAACTCATGTTTCAGCAAACCAATATAGGATTTATTCGCCAAGTCAAGGTCCCTTGGTTAAATCTGCCATTGTCACCTATTTAATTGAATATTCCGTGAAAAAAAAGATATAACTATTACTCTGCTACTTTCTCATTGAATTTCTTGTATTTTATAACTCAATATTATTTATATTCATATTATTCCCTATTGATTAAACAGAAAAACTCTATAGCTTTCAATGGCTGAATTGAAATATGATTTTCAAAGAAAATATGACATACCGGGTATCAACGAAATTTTCAGACAAGCCATGGCTTCCAGAGTTTCTAATTCTCTCACATCACTTTCGGAAAGGACCCCAACTTTTGCTTTTCAATTAGGATACCCTTTATTCTATTCCATAATCGTTTAAACTTTTTATATTCTCAATGAGTGTGAATGAGAAAACAGTTTGGATATTGCGTCGTCACACCCATTGAGTAATCGTTTAAAATAACCCTGTTAATCCCAATATCGTTGATTTCGTTATGATTTATTTATTTATTCGAAATTTGGAATACTAACAGGCTGTTACCCATACAAGCATCCACTAATTCAATCAGTTACTGAGCTAATAACATTCGTGTCTATACAAATACAAAAATACACCTAATTACATAGGAGGTATGAAAATGAAATATATGCAATACGGAAAAAATAGTGAGCATTCTCATTCATGATTTCTAATTACTTATTATCGTGATATTAGGAAATAAAAATGTTTTAGGTAATTCTTTCAAAGGAATATGGGAAAAATATTCACATCATTGCAATATTTGTTGAATAAATCACACATTCTGGGGTCAAATTTTTTCCTAAATTTGTTTTATAATTGGAGCACGCTAATGATTGTCACTAATTTCGGTGAGTAATAATAATAATAATATAAGTTTATTCAAAAACGTTTACAAAATATACATTGGAATAAACATAATAGGTAATTTGAATAAACTGCCATAACAGTTTCTTAATATTTTGTAAATGATAAGTAAATCACTGATAATTCTTCGCTGTTCGAGAAGTTGTATGTTATAGTGGGTACGAACCTGTTATTACACATCAATTAGTCATTTTGAAATGGAGGATGATCCCTAACTGATTATGGAATAGAACACAAGGTGTCCCATTTGAAAATCAAAAGTTAGGATCGTTTCCGGTGAAACCGGAGGTGATCGGAGAGTATGAAATTTCGAAAAATTTTACAATTCTTGAATCAACACCCCTGCCAAGTTTGAATACCATACCTTCAGAAGTCTGGCAACTAAGGCTTGTCTAATGAATACGTTGACACCCGGTATATATTTTTGGAGAGCCTATTTTTTGGTGATTCCCTGAAGTCGAAACCAACTATGATTTCTATTTGAAATAATTTGGCAGATGTATCTCAATCTACGTCTGTAGAGAGTTTTTACCGTTAAGAAAACCATCCAAAAATAAAAAAGTTATGCCATTTTTCGGAAACGGTCAAATGTCAAATTTCGATTATATCTCGGAAACGGTTACAGGTATCAAAGTGCGGTTTTCACCAATCGATGTTTCACAAAAATCAAGCTCCAAATCACAAGGTCAGTTTTTTCTACATGTTCTGAAAATAGAAGAAACTGTCACAATCAAACAATTTGGCACACCCAATACATATAATTCGATAATTTCATAGTGGCCATTTAAAACTTGATCTGGCCCCACATGGTTTTGTCATCAATTTAACAGTCGGTTGATTCATCACAAAAAATTCCTTACTGCATTGAACTAAGAACATTCAGTACATCGGAACGATACATTTTCAAAATTTTAAGTTTAAAATTTCCTTAAACGATTCGCCATAGAAAATAAGCATCCGCCACCTAGCGGGGATTTTGAGCTATCAAAGCGGTCTGTTAACCTTATTTACATTTGGTTTTTGATTGTGCATACTCTCTGATTGTGCTTATTGTTCACATCCATGAAAACAAACCGCTTATAACGATTGAAAAGAAGGACGATACAGCCTTCAGGGCCATCTAATGGCAAAAGTATGTTCATAAGTAGGTAAATTGGTGAAATTACCATAACTTGCGAATATGACCCCTACGTCTACCCTACAGAGAATCAAAATGTCACAAGTGATTCAATGTTCCACTAACAAAATGATGAGATCGTTCATTTATTACCGTCAGGTGGGGAGACGTGTTATTATCTATCGCGAATAGGAGATCATATAGGTATTGAATTGAAGATATGTACAGAAGATTGCTGACATGTTATTGAAAAGTAGGTAATAATCAATACATTCATCATTTCATAATAGAGCAAAATCCCATGAACGCCATACCTTCGTTATTTGATTAAAAGCTGGAAGTTTCTCAGCGCAGGTGAGAACGATGGGCAAATATAAAGTTTAGGTCATGGTGCCTTTGGGAGGTTACAGGGAACAAAGGTGCTAACAATACCAACTTACTTTCGTCATACCATAAAGGGTAATTTTTTTATATTTTATACGGGATAATATTAGAAACCTTGTCATCCATTGCTAGAGACGTTACCATGGTGGCTACCCCTTGCCAGACACCCTTAAACCTTGATGAATTGTAACTTAACTTTCGTTAAAGCATAAAAGCTGAATTTCATACATGTTACTTGGGTTGAATGAAGATGTTTCCTCAGAAGCCAGACAATTCTGGTGTTGCTAATGCCTAGCCAGACAGACATACAGTGTTTTCGTAAAGTACTGAACAACATCATTTTCAGTCAAACTATCAATTTCTGAAGAATCTCTTGAAATAGGTCGACTTTCAATTTCAATTTGCCACGTTCATGCGTTGGAATTATCATGTCTGCGTCAATTATTTCAAATGGAACACCCTATATATTATTCAATCTTCGGAATCTCCATGGAAAGCTGAATTCAAACATGTATCAGGGGAAAATGAAATAGTATATTACACACCGAGGTGGGAAGAGATTCATTCCTGTCGTGAGATTAGTTAGTTAACCGAGACGCAAAGCGTCGAGGTTATAGCTATGATCTCGATACAGGAATGAAACTTCCTACCGAGTTTGTAAACTATTTTATTTACAACCATCATATGTCGGGAAGTGAGGGCGGGAAGTACAGGTGTGTAATGTGACACTTCCCAACCTTCATTGGCAGTCCCCGCGAGATTAACCCGTCGAGTTGAGGCTTCGCACCCTTTCGTGGTCACTTTGGAGATCTGCAGAACATCTCTTTCCTCGTTTATTCAACGAACAGCGAGGCTCTGGAACACATTGCCAAGGGAGGTGTTCCCCGAGGCATATAACCTCCAGGAATTCAAGAAGAACACCAATTCCTACCTTATTTCCCTTGGTTCTCACGATGTTATCTGAACATTACAGGATATCCGTTTTCGTGGGAACCAGAACATAACAACAGGAAAAATAAAAAAAAATCCCTGATATCTTTTTCAATAGCTAAAAGCTGATTATTTACTTACAGGTACGCACTGATGATGACTGTATAGTCAAGAGCGCTCTGCTACGAGAAAAATTTGAATAAATCATGTACAAAATACAACATTTTGTACTATCTTGGTATATCTACACGTGCACACAGCTAAGTAACCCCCACTTAAATTTATTTTTTGCCAAACTATCCATTCCAGAGAAATGTACTGAAACATGTCGAATTTTTTTTTTCACATTTGAGAGGGAAAATTCAATATACAGGGTGATACACGTCTGATTCATAACGTACGCAATGATTTTTTCAAATGGAACACCATATACAGGGTTTTTCACCTAAAACTCCGCACGCCATTATCTCGAAAACCAATAGGAATATTTGATTTCTATAAATAGTAGTCAATGGATGGGGTCAAGTAAATCTTTTTCGATCTTCAGAAAATTCAACGTCTACTAAGAGCTGAGCGTCGCGACGCGTCGAAAATATAAATCGATTGCATTGACTTTGAAATCACGCGCACTAAACAGTAAAGGTTATTTATAAACTTTTTTGTGATTTACTCGATCCTATTCATTTTACTAATTTCTGAAATATACCGGTTTAGAGTAAATGTTTCTTGATTGACAAAATATGCGATTACGTATGATTCTTACAAGAATGTCATGAATATTAGTTACCTTGGCAACCAGTGTTATCGAAATTGTTTCGAGTGCAAAACTAAACTAGTGCATGCATAAATTAGAACCGCAGGTGATCCTGCTAGACGAATGGATTTCTTAGCAAGATTTTCACATTTTTATTAGCAAGAAAATTCTTTTTACTTGATCATTTGGGATTTTCTCTTCTCGTTTCTATAAAATAAAAACATGAGTATTATTTCAACATATGTGTAGTAAGAGAAATCACATGATTTGACCTAAAATGTCACAGTCTTCAACAAATTTTTCTATCAGGGAGCCAAAATGAAAAATCCAATAGCTTATCAGCGACACTGTTTGGAAAATGTTCGAAGAGAAGAAATATATTGAGAAAATATAGAATATTCACCAATCTTTGGACGTTCTCAATATAAAAATGCAAAATATTTTTCTCCGAAAATTATTTTCTTATAGTTTGACACCTCTCAGTGACATACTGATATTGGCATATATATGAGTGATGATGTTAGTATACAAATGATTTACAGGATGTTTTCATTAATTCATTTTGAATCTACAATTTTCATGTTCAGTTTTCAGTAGTGAATACCATGTTCTATCTATATCAACTGAACAGGAAGCAATGCTATTGTCTCCGTTCAGAAGAATGCAAGCGGATTCCTTGATTTTTCTCTTTTGGTTCTTATCTTCCTTTCCTATGATTTCAATATTATCCCACTCTACCATATGCTGTCCATTTTCAGCAAGGATATGTTCAGTTAGCTTTGATTCATCGATATGTCTTTTCTTGTGTTCTTTCATCCTTACTGAGAGAGGTCTCTTCGTTTCACCTGTATAATACTTTCCACAAACACAAGGTATACTATAAATACATTTTTTTTACACTTTAATGAAAGTCAAGTTACAATTATTATTCATCAAGGTTCAAGGTTGTCTGGCAAGGGGTAGCCACCATGGTAACGTGTCTGGCAATGGATGACGTGGTTTCTGATATTATCCCGAATAAAATATAAAAAAATTACCATTCATAGTATGACGAAAGTAGGTTGGTATTTTTAGCACATTTGCTCCCTGTAACCTTCCAAAGGCACCATGACTCAAACTTCATATTTGCCCATCGTTCTTACCTGCATTGGGAGCATACGCTGAGAAGCTTTTATAAAATAACGAAGGTCTGGCGTTCATGGGGTCTTGTAATATAATTAAAGGCTTTGTACAACACATCTATGGCTCGTCAAAATTAGCAGAGTGGGTCTTAATCGTATATGATTGATCATTCTTATTCGATATTCACTACAATAAATCTCAATTTCGTGAACAAACGAATCTTTGCAACTTCGAATTGAGACTGAATACTTTCAAATCTAGATTAACATACTCTTAGGTCAATCAAAGAGCTGTAATAATTATTTTTTTCGCCACTAAACTGAGAAATCACCATTATTCGAGGATTTCCTCCAATGAGAAGTAACACTTCAATAATGATGAATTGATAAAAGAAATTTTACCTAGGTAGAACCAACTTTCAATAGTGTGAATGAACACAAAAATCTTCTGAAGTTGAGAATATGCATTCTCCTTCAGATAAAAATATGTATATGCATATACTTCAGAAGATTTTGTGACCAATTCTTAGCGTTTGTGTTCAATAGATATAATTCAATGTTCGTCATGGCATATAGCCAGGGAAGTAGTTGTTTTTTGTTGAATAAACCGAGAAAGAATTGATATTTTTATCACAGAGAATGCGAATTCTCAAAGTATTTCTCAAAGTATTTCTTTATATTCAATATATATATATATATATATTTTTATGTTCATAATCTATCTGAGAATATTCCTTTTCAATACTTTCACCCAATCAACGGGTTCAAACTTGGAAACGATGGAAACTTGTTATTTTTATAGACCTTCAATCGCAGATTCGTGATTAGGTTTCCTCAATTCAGAGTTTTTTCACGTCCTGTATGATGAATATCAATTTGTCATACATACAGAAATGGAGAACAATGCTGAATAAACACGATAAATGGCATTGCTTTTTCAATGAAAATGAAAATTTGAATTGATAATAGATGTTGATTTTTCAGTGTTATTAGTGGAAAAAATATTATATATACCTCTGGTGTAAAAGCTATTGTATAGCTCGCACATTATATCATTCGGCGCTTCGCGCCTGTTGATATACAAGTGCTTGCTATATAATAGCTCACTTCTCACCCTAGGTGTATAATAAACTATTCTGAATTTTTGAGATTTTCTCTCGTTTTTATAAATTAAAATATCAGTCTTACACATTGGGAGTTTTCCAACTTTCAGTTGGATTAATAGCTTGAAAATTGGTATACTGTTATAATCGACCATTTCCAATCTACCTGAAATATCTTGAGTCCTTCAGCTATATAGGGTGTGCCAAAAGTCGGCACCATTTTTTTTTGGAAATATCACAGCATACCAAATTTCAAGTTTTGAGTCCAAAGTTAGAAAACTTGTGCTGAGGACAAAATCAGATTAGCTTCAAAATGCCACTGCACTTAAAATTTCACTATTTGCGATAGCCAAGGTCGTCATCTATTATTCTTAATTCGACTTGTTATATTTTTTATCTGAATGTATTCATTCCGAATTCGGATTAAGTTCAATGAATTCTGAAACACTGTATTGCCTGTTTGAAAATTATAAGTCTCAATTTGGTGTTGAAATGGTATAGGTAAATACACTCACCGGCAAAAAATCCCGCCAGCAAAAAATATCCATTTTTTTAACGCTTGGAGCGCACGAAAGAAAATCCCTATAATGTTAGCAGAACATCGTGCGTACCTAAGAAGGTTAGGGAGAGGAGGTGAGTATTGGATTTTTTTATCGCCCTGCCATGTAACTGTTTTAATACTCGTCCAATTTTGGTGAAAATCCGACCGAATCGTAGATTTATGTTTGGAAACGTTAACCTGAATTTTAGTTCCCGAAAAAGCTGATGGCTTGATCATTATACAGGGAAAAACAGAAGTAACTATTTCACGCTTAACTTCTTAACGCCCTGTGGCAAAAGTGAGTGATCAAGCTCAGCTTCATCATGTTTTGGATTAAAGTGTTATCGCTTCTTAACACAATCGTTTTTGATTCACATTAATATCTTCTTTAGAAGAGAAGATACAAGTGTTTTAAGAAAGTATGATAATTTTTAAATTGCAGAAAACACATGAACGTATTCATTACCATCTCGAAAAAACAGCTAAAAATCACTTATTTCCACCCTGATTTTTCAGCACTCACCATCAAAGAGAAACCTTAATTAATGAAAAAAACGAAAAACAGACTTCCTAGATGTAGTCCATTATGAGTATGCCTCTTCGAACTTGAGTTACAGCATTCAACCGCCCTGGCATAGAGTTGATCTTTCTCAAGCGATCTTAAGAAATTGCCTCAAATTTTTTGTAGCTCTTGAAGAGTCCCTGACAAGGCCGGACAAAGGCGTTCATCCCAAAGATGCTCTTTAGGTTTTGAATTGTTGTTGATAAAATAAATTACATACGTTCTTGAAACACTTGTTCGAATTACAGGCCAATCTCCCTATTATCTACGTTGTCTAAAATGTTCGAAAAGGTTTTGAAGACTAGGATAGCAAGTTATGCAAAAAAACACAACTTATTGTCTGATAAACAGTACGGTTTTAGGGAAGCCAAATCAACACAGGATGCAATAGCCAATCTTGTTGGAGACATATACAGGGCTTTAGATAGTGGTGCACCTGCTCTTTGCGCTTTCGTAGATTTGGCTAAGGCCTTTGACACGGTGAGCCATGATGACTTATTAAGCACTTTTGAGAATATTGGATTTCGAGGAACTGCTCAGGATATGATGAGAAGTAATCTAACAGAAATAATTCAATGTGTTAATATAGAAGATTCCTTCAGTGTGGAAAGGACGGTTTCATTTCGGGTTCCTCAACACTGTTGGTGAAATCGTTAGTTTCGCAGATGATACTGCAATGAGGAGCATCGTGGAAGCACGTGGAAGACACTGAAACTGACAGTCCAAGAAGATTTTGTTTATGTTTATGTTTCAATCATTTAAGTTCTGTGAAACCGAAATATGGAACTGTTTTCACTATGACCATGACAGCATATGACAAATCGTTATTGATAAATACCTAATAGATTCCAATGCCATCCCTGCGAATATCTGATCAGAGCAGTGCATTTGGGTTAATTATAACAGATGTGGCTATGTCTTTATTGACTAGTGGTTGATAAAATGACGTATGATGAATATCAATCAATCATACATCCAAAAATTTGTACCTCTTCTTATACAGAAGATATTGACGTGAATCAAAAACCATTGTGTTGAGAAGAGATCACACTCCAATACGAAACATGATGAAGCTATGTTTAACGACTCGATTTGGTCGAAATTTCACCAATCGGTCAAGAATCGAGCAAGTTACAGGGCAATCAATTTGGCTATATTTTTTGCTGGCCGGTTTTTTTGCCGGTGAGTGTATAAAACCTTCCAAACAAAGATCAACAGCATAATTGATATATTTCATTTATTATTGTCTGAGAATTACATATTCTGATACGACAGTTTCAGAAACTGGATATCGTACTTTCGTGCAGATAATCATACAGCATGTTCTAAAACCAGTGGAGTAATTTGATATCACTGAGCCAATGAGAAATGAAAAAAAAAAACTCTTTTTCCGTAGACCTCGTATTAACGAGTATGTTTAATGTTTATTAAATTGATCGTTAATGACTCATTCTAATGATCAATTTGTCTATTAATGCATGATTGTAGTATAGGCAACCAGACATATACCGCGTCCTTTCATTGTTGGCACTATACTTT